ACAGCACTAAAATTCATCCTCAAGTACAAGACAACCTAAAATTAATTCCAAGTTTAATCTAGCTAAAAGGTCTATTTATAACAAAGAAAACTTAAATTAAAACCACAGTATAAACAGAAAGTTGCTAACAATAGGCAAACAGATGTGTGCTGGGCAGGGGTGAGATGTTTCAAACAACAAACCTAAATATATTTAAATGAGAAACTAAAAAGTCAGAACCAATGCTGGAGACTTGGTCCTCAGTGTACTCCACTAGATTATTTAAGTATAGCTTAAATAATTTATACATTATTTAAGTGTATACTTTCAGATAGCTTCATATTCTGAAGATTTTGGGCAAAAGTTGGCTGTTTCCACACTCTGCAAAGAAAGAAATGTCAGGGAAGCTGAGGTTTATCGATACAGTCAGTGAAGAATTCTGAACATTAACTCCTATCTCCATCTTGACTTAAACTGCAAAGCCAGATCTATCCAGTAATTTAGCAAGGTTTAGCAACTGAAACTCAACACAGACAAAATTAAAATGCCAGTTGTCTGAAAATGCAACAGAGTCATGTCTTTGCTGTCAGAAGGGGATGACAGAAGTGGAGGATACATTTGCCCTGACATACAGTTACACATCTGAGATCCCTTTGGATCTCCATCATTTCTGAACTCACAGTGCTCTGCTGACACTAATGGCTGGTATTTAGAGGTCAGCACCAGTTCTTGCCAGAGTAAGAAGTAAAAGCCATGTCAGCTCAAGGCTGAACATCTGTGAATACTGGAAATGGAGCTGCACTTCCAATGCTGAGAAAATTTCAGCCTCTGCAGAGTTTGGCAAGGCCTTTGCTTAATGCACTTTCTGCAACTGTGTTCTTCAAATTATGTATAATTCAAAACCTCACTTCTACATCTGTGACATCCTGTATTACTTAAAACTTGCCTGGAGGAAATCCAAGTACCATTGTTAATAAAATGGCAACTAAATCCTTCAGTCCATCATTACAAAACTACACCAGGGCAGTCTCTGGACCAAGTGTTTTGGTATTTCTGACATGTGAGGCATTGAACAGAATTTCTGAGATGGTCTGACGAAGATCATTCTATAGAGACATATCTGAATTTAATTAATATAATTAATATAAACTGACATTATTTTTAACTGAAGTGTGAAGTAGTGATAAACTATTCACTATGGGTAGAAAGCAACTAAAAATGACCCGCTGTGGACTCATTTTAAAATTAAGATCTGATAAGCAACCTGGTAAAGCCAAACCATAATTATAGGCAGGGTTTTTTTCCCACATTTAACTCCATATTAAAGTGCTCTTACTTACACACAGCACTTGACCGAAAGTTCTCATCTGCTCCTATACAGACATTATTGAACATGACCATCACATATCCAGAAAAAACTATTTTGCTTGCCTTGCATAGAAATAAAAATGATAAATTTAAGATCAAAAGATTAGAGGTGCAAGATTAAGATGAATCTTAAGCATTGCTGCATTACAGAAGCATATTATTTGTACATCAGCTTATAAAATTCTTAACATACACATTAAAATTTTCATCCTGATGAAGCTGTTGTGAATTCTACTGTGTTTTCACTTGTGACAGGCATCAGAATCACTGTAAATTAAACTCTAGTCTCCTTCATCCAAAACAAGCATCTTGTTTTCATTTACAGAAATATCTACATGAAATTCCACCAGCAAAATGAACCCTGGCCTGCAACACCCTGATAGCAAGAACAGGTACTCACTTAGACCTCTCTACCTTTTAAATTTAACTTTTAAATACAGTAGCATCCTGGATGTTTCACAGATTAACTTATAAATTTTAAACCTTGAATTTTGTAGAATACACTCTACAAGGCACATAAAAGGCATAATTAAATCCACTAAGACCATAATTAGAATCATAACTGGATGTGTTTACATTAAAGTTCCATAAGCTCTCCAACTAAAAAGTTCATTTTTAGTTTTTTCCTGGGAAAAATTCTGGAAAGAATAAAATTAAGGTCTTGCACAGCAATTTGATTCCTCAAGTTCATCTTCCAAGGTCAGAGTACAGTTGGACTGAGGTAATGTGTAATAGCAGGTAACTCCCAGAAAACAAAAAGCATTGCCAAGAATCCAGTTATTTTAGCAAGGCAGTGGTGATTATTTCATTTTCAGCTGTCCATACAAACAAAAAAAAAGGGCAGTTTTACTTTGCGTAAATGTAACAGATTAAACCCATCTATATCACATTAAAATGCTCTTCTCTCAGTGAATTAAACATCCCCAACAAAAGGCATTGTACTCTAAATAGCTGTCCCAGGTTTATGTGAATTAGAACTGATGCCTAAAATTCCTACCTGCCCACCACACTAAGTGTGCTAGAAAAGTCTGCACCTCTCAGGCTTCAGAAAATGTGTATCACTGCTGCAGAAAAAAACCCTACATTTGCTTTTATAATCTACCAGATGTGTAAATACCCAAGTACTAATTTGCCATTTTGTAATTAACTATATACACACCAGTCTGAACCTCTTTCTTACACACAGAAGCTCAGTGAATGTAAGGAATTAATACAGGGATTCCATCAGAAATTCAGTGTGTTCATACTAAAAGCAGAGAAACAGTTTTGCTATAGAAGAAATCCAGCATTCCTTTTTTATATTTTATACATGAATTTTTCATCAGTATCAGAGCAGTCTAAAACTGGCTGATTCAGCTAAAAACATAAATCAGGAAAAGTGAACATATAAACAATTCAGTACAACATTCATTAAGATAAAGCACTGTAAAATCAACTACAAAGACTTCTTACAAGCCAAGTCTGAGGGAGAAATAACACTTTGGTTACACAGTGACTTAGTAATTCATGCAATTATACCGGTCTTTGTACAGCTCGTTAAATTGAACTTGACAGATCTACTAAATTGAAAACAACTACCATGATTAAAAAAAAAATTAAATACGTACACAACTATCCCTTCTTTCCTGAAAAAATATAACACATCTGTCAATAAATTTAAAGTTATCCTGCTTCCACCCTTCTTGAAATTCACAGTTAAACAATGGGCCATTTGAGGCAGTAGTTTAAAAAAAACTCTCAGCTCAAAATAATTAACAAAAAAGTGTGAATAGTTTCAAATATTAGTCACCACAGTTTTGACAGTGAACATCTATTAGCATTTAAAAAAAATATTGTTTCACCTCATCAGAAATTTACACCCATGAAGTAACTGACTCTACCATAACAACAACAAAATTTGTCAAATACAGCAGTTACTGCTGATTGTAGCAATAATAATAATAATATACTTCTTACTCTTCAAAGCACCATCAGTCGTCACCTTTCACAATAAGCCAAGCCCCACTGAGGACGAAAGTGGCAGTTTCACAGCATGAAAACAGTACTTTTAACAGCAATCTACAAAAATCCATACACTGCTGTGTATTTAGATAAAATTGCAGTAAAATTTCTCTCTCAACTGACTTGCTTTTCCTACAGATTTCATAGGAAGCCATGCAATTATTACATTCTTGAAAGCGGGAACTGTTTATTAATCTTTCAGAAATGTTTAGAAAGAGATGTTTACATGTAAGTAGCTTACTAGATTTAGGAAAGAAAGCTGAGAATTGAAAAGGGGAACAGCACAGTTTGGAATTTGGGTGATTCTACTCAGCCACAAATGCAAGTGTAACAGTTACCAGGTCACACAACTGGTTAATGGCATCCATTAATGCAGCAGACCTAACACAGAGGCTGAAGAGAAGCCACAGTTATTACAACAAAAAACCAAAGAAACGATTTTTGCCTGCAGCACATGATTTAACACAGGCAACAGCAAAAGTTGGAAACTTCTCCTTTCGGATTTCCATCACACCACTGAAATACAACTAGATTAACATGTATAACTTTTTTTTGTTTCTATCCCTCGGTAATTGCTGGGACCAATTACGACACCAAGAGTCACACAGTGATTACATTATAATGAGAGCAGTGAAACACAAGGGTTTAAAACTACTGTTTTAAAGGGTATAAACAGTAACTACAATATATTTAAGGATATGTAAACATTTGTAAAAGTAATAACATCATTGTGACACTGGGGACATGCTAGAAAGCACAAGGCTATCAACAGTTAACCAACACCTAAAGCAGCCTCTGCTGTGCTTTGCCTACAACTAAATGCTTCTCAACACGTTCAAAGTGCAGTTTGTACTATTTTTAATCAGAATGGATAAAATCCAAGAAGTTCTGTAGGCACCAATCACCTTTCCTAACTATGTTCCTTACATAACAAACTTAGCACCACAGGCCACGTGCTGGTGCACTGCATCCTCCAAGTCAGGAATTAGAAACTCCTAACAGGACAAAAAACAAAAAAAAACAAATCCAAACTTTTCAAAAGTAACTAAATGGGTTGAACAACACACTCAGACTCCTACATTGCCATGACAACTCAGCATGTATTCACAAGATATCAGTCTTCGCCTTCTCAAGTTTTAAATCAAAAGTCCATAATAGTGTCAGAATGGCCTGTATGGAATATTCATAGAATACCAGAATGGTTTGGGTTGGAAGGGACCTTAAAGACCATCTCGTTGCAAACCCCCCTTGAACACTTTTCATTCAACCAGGTATCAATTCTTCAGCACATGAATTAATCAGACAGCTAGAAACAGCGTTAAAGAAATAATAGTGACAGAAGGAAGTCCATCAAGTTCTGTGAAACAAAAGAATGTTGATACAATGTCATTACAACTTCATACTCATCCTAAGCCAAAGAAATTCCAGCAATTGGGAAAGCACACTGGAGGGAAAGGGCTGCCATGCTTTGCTTTTGTACCTTTCTCAAAGTGAGTAAGCACCAACAGACACTTCAGGATAGTCCTAAGCCAGATTCATCTTCCCCTAACACAACCTGACTCTTCAGCAAATTAAACACATAAAAAGTCAACAAAACACCACAAAGAGTACAGAAATTATTGAAAGGGACCTTCCTTTCAAGATGTCCATACCTGTGGGAGTGCAGTATTGAGCTGTCTTTGCAAGGAATCTCTCTCATGACCGACTTCATGCAGCTTGCCCTGGGTCAGTGCCAGGGTCTCCTGAGTTTCCCTCAGTGTTTCCAGGAGGCGATCCCTTTCTTCCAACATGGACACCATTAACTGCTCAAAATGGGAATCAGCATCTGACTGTAATGGGGAACCTGAACCGTGGCCTCCATTTCCCCCAGCGGGAATCTCGGCCTCACTGATGGTTGGCATCACCTCACACATCATCTTGAAATGAAACGAGACAAAATAAAGACCGTAAAGTCGAGTCAAACAGATCCAAACAGGCATTTTGAGTGCTGCCCATAATACCCACTTAGCTTTTCCCCATGATAGAATCAACAAGGGCTGCCAACACCTCAGTGTTTGCCACTGTTTCATTAAGGCTGAGAAAAGGTAACACAGTCAATTTAATCAAGGCATCACTTCTTAATGAGAATCTTGTGACTTCTTGCAAAACCAGATTTTTACAGCCACGTTTCAAAGTGTGATCTCATTTTAATGGATTTATATTTCTGTCAGGAGTGAACTGCTGCCGAGATCTTGAAGAAAAAAAAAAACAAAGATAAGGCATGCAGCTTGCCCCCAAAATTATACACTTAACCCAGTAACCGATTACACTGCACATTTTGAGAATCATTATCTGTTCCTTCCAATGCTTCAAACGTATAAAGATCACACCTAAAACAGTACTTTGAGCTTTTGTTGGCTGCAGAAAGTTTACGGTGAAAGTGATGCATGTAAATTAGAGGTAAATCCAAATAGTCCAATTCAGGAGATAAAACACGTGAAGGAAGATAAAAAGCAAAAAAATTCATTACAAAGTAGTAGCAGCTGTCAATGTGGATAACAAAAGGAAAGGTAAGCAAAAATAATTAAAGGCAGAGAATGAACACAGTTAAAACAATGCAAATGTAAGCACCGTACTACTGTTAAAACTGGGAGGACTTTTTAGAGACTCTAACAGATCCTTACCAGAGCTAAGGCATCAAGTTTTTAAAAAGCATGGAAAAAACCACTAATATAATTACTGCACACTCTCACTGAACCACTAAGACTTCTCTAGTTCTTCAGACAGCCTCTCTCACCATCACAAACCTACAAGAACATAAGGCACATCAGAAAAAGCAGTTCTCTCAACCTCTCAGGTGGCACGAACTTTGTTCTCAGCCTTAAATTTCATACCCATATCTGAACATGTTAAAGAACAACTAAACTCATTCTGAGTCTTACTGTGAGTCCTCTCTATCCCCTGAAAGACTTGGAACGATCTGAGATGCTTTGTAACACTTTCATGCATGACTACGATAAGCCCTGTATTTTCCCCACTACGTTATTTACCTTGCTCAATAAAACAAAAAGGCTTGGAAGACAGGCCCCAGGTTTCCTGCAGTACCAGTTCTTCTCTGTTTTAGCAGTTTTCTGTTACCCCCCAAAACCTTTCGGCTTGCAAAGCATCCATTCAGCTCCAGTCCAATGTCTGTTTAATCGAAACACCCCGTGCACATGAAAACAAATAAACCTGCCGAAGAAAGAGCAGATCCAGTAAAAAGCAGCAGCAGCAGCTTCAGCCAACTCGCAAAGTCCCCGGAACAGAAGAATGTTAAAATAAACTGCCTCAGCTTCCCATCCCTCTATTACTGGCCCACGGGTCCTGCAACAGCTGGGATGGAGGAATCATGTGCTGAGAAAATTAAAAAAAAAAAAAAGTAGTCCGATGCAGCGGTGCAAGAAGCTTCAATTAGTTCTTCTCTCATAAATTCCACTTAGGTCACAATCGCATTATTAAACAGCGTGCGGACAGCACGGGAAAAAAACAGCACGGGCTTTCTTGCGGAGGATTTGGAAAAGCCTCCCTTGTTTTCTCTCCTGTTAATTCCAACGGGAGGCTCTCCTTCCAGTTCCCCGGGTCTTAGTTCAAACATTTATAATCCCAACAGCGAGGCGCCAGTGCCACTTCGGAGAAAAGGCGAGGAGGGGTGGGGGGAAGACCTGTTGTTTCCTAGTCCCGCACCGCGGGTCGGTCCCGCAGGCGATGCTCCCACACTGAGATATCCAGCAGACGGGAAAGAAAGGAACCGGGAGGGCGCTCGGACTGGGGCAGAGGAGTGGGACGAGCGTCGGAGGGCCCGGCGAACAAAGCTGCGGGCGGCGGGGCTCTGCTGCTCCCCCGCCCGCCACGGGCAGCGCCGGCCGGGCCTCCCTCCTCCCTTCTCCCTCTTTCCCTCCTCCCTCGCACCCCGCCGGAGGCCCCAGCACAGCCCACAGCGAGCCCGGCGCGGAGGCCCCGGCGAGCGCTCCCTCCCTCCCGCCCCTACCGAGCGGTGGGGGAGCGTCCCCTCGGCCCGGGCCCGGCTCCGCCCGCTGCGCCCGTGGCGGCCGGCGAGGGGCTCTCCCGCACCGGGTGGTGCCCTGAGGGGGCGGCACAAGCCCGCGGAGCCCCGATGGCCGCGGTAGCGCTGCCAGTGCCACACCGAGCACAGCCTCTGCCTCCCCCTCCTCCCGCCGCTCCCAGCGCACTCCGCGGCTCCGCAGCAATCACGGCGGCGCCCACAATGCACCGCGCGGCGTGCCCGCTCCTGCCCCGCTCGCTCCCTCCCTCCCCGCCCGCCGCGCCAGCACGCCGGTTCGAGACCCGCACCCCCCTCTCATGTCACACAAGCGATACTCCCGCCGTCCACGGTGCCCGCCCGGGGAGGGAGGCGGGCTCGCTGAGGGATAAGAAAAGGGCAAGGCTGGAGGAGTCAGCGCGGCGTGTGCCAGAGTCTCCTCGCAGTCGCAGCCCGTGGCGGGGCTTGCGTGTCGCGGCAGGGCCCGGCCAGGCGGGGCTGCGGCTCCCGCCACGGCCAACGCGATCAGAGGGGAAGCCGGGGATGGGTCCCATTGTCCCAACCCGCTCCCGTCGCCTCAGTGTGCCCTCTCCGCCTTGGCCTGCGCCTGTCGCCTCAGCTCCCCTCAGAATCACAGAATCAACTGCGTTGGAAAAGACCTCTGGGGTCATCAAGTCCAACCTACGACCCAACACCACCTTGTCAACCAGATCATGGCACCGAGTGCCACATCCAGTCTTTCCTTAAACACTTCCAGGGGTGGTGACTCCACCACCTCCCTGGGCAGCCTGTTCCAATGCCCACTCACTCCTTCTGTGAAGAACTTCTTCCTAATGTCCAACCTAAAACTCCCCCAGTGAAGCTTGTGTCCTCTTGTCCTACTGCTGGTTGACTAGGAAAAGAGACCAATCCTCACCAGGCTCTAATCTCCTTTCAGGGACTTGTAGAGAGTGATGAGATCTCCCCTGAGCTTCCTCCTCTCCAGGCTAAACAACCCCAGCTCCCTCAGCCACTCCTCGTAGGACTTGTTCTCCAGTCCCTTAACCAGCCTCGTTGCCCTTCTCTGGACCTTCTCCAGCCCCTCAATGTCCTTCCTGAACTGAGGGGCCCAGAGCTGGACACAGCACTCCAGGGGTGGCCTCACCAGTGGTGAGTACAGGGGAAGAATCACTTCCCTGGTCCTGCTGGCCACACTATTCCTGATACAGCCCAGGTGCCGTTGACCTTTTTGGCCGCCTGGGCACACTCCTATCCCTGTCTGCAGTCCACAGTAACTGAGAGTGGATCAGTGTAGGGCTAGGACTTGGAATGCCACAAATAAAACTAAATAATCAGATCTTTGCATAATGCTCTGTACTGCACTTAATACACATGAAATAATAAAGTCAAGAGAACTCCCAGGTTCTGCAAGTACCAAAATATTTCTCAGCATTCCTATTTACTTTGTAGGACAAGGAAAAGAGTTTCCTTTTTTTCTTCCTCCTGGGCATGTAATACAGGATATACCATATGACATGAACAGCACCAGCAGCTCAGTTCTTTTTAATTAAACGAGTGTGATGTCTCTTTTGTAAGCTCAGTGAGAGGTCTGGCTCCCTGTCCATGTCATTCAGTGAGATGTAACACTTGGAGTTGTGTCTGGAAAGAGCCATACGTACATCAGCTGACAGCAGAATAATCAGTTCAGAGACCCAGGTTAAATATCTCCCCACTCCTTGCACCTCAAAATCACCTGATGAAATTCAAACAAAGGCTGTTAAAAATGGGATGGGGGGAAGAGGGAAAGGTTTTCCTTTCCTGTCACATGATAAATTAGATCCTAATGTTTATCCAGGCTTAGCAAAACAGCCACCTCTTCCTGCCAGAGAGTGTTGCAGGGTGAGATGTCGAGGTCCGGCAGCTCTGAGGACAAACACCTGGTGCCACCAGCAAGGAAGAGCTGCCCACGAGAAGGTGAAGGAGCAAAGCACTTCTCTGTTTGCTTCCCCCACTGCTTTCTCTGCCCACTGAGTGCTTTATGCTTCATTTGTGCTGAGGTTTCCTTTGTGAGCCTCAAAGCCACCCTGCTTGAGCACAAAACCTCCACTGAAAATAGTCCAAGAGTGCCTACGCATTTTTTTCCCCCTGTGAGTCGAGCTGATGGTACCTTATTTACTTCTTATCCTTTACAGATGACTTAATGACTTAGCAGCAAAATGCATTTTGAACACATTTCATACCAAAATGAATAGATGAAAGAACAGGGCTTTTGCCAACAGCACTGATTATCCTTTTGTCGGTAGATAGATGTGACCTGGACCATTCTGTTTCTGTAACAAATGTCTCCAGAGGTTGCTAGACAGAGGAGACACTTTGCCTGAGGGAGAAGGAATGAGAGGGGAAGAGGCTGGAAGGTGGCCTATAGAGAAGAGGACACAGGTAATTAATGGTTATGCCCATAAGTGCACTGGTAAATGTGTCAGCCCTTTGGCAATAGAAGCCGTGACTTCTAGAAACAGGGCCTTGACACGGTTCTTAAGACTGGCATTTTATTTGTATAATATGGGTCTACATGGATGTGTGTTGGATTTAGGTAGGTGTAAATCAAATCAGAATTGGCTGCTCTGAAATTTAAGAGGGTTTTTGAGTTGGATTTACTCCCTCTGATTGGAAAAAAAATCTCCACAAAGCACACACGAACCTGGAGTTGACCAGATGAACTTACACAATTTATTTTAATGGGAATCCTACCTATGTCAAGACCATAAATATTTTTTTAATTCAGCTGCTATTCCTGCAACCAAAACCACATATGCCCACTCAAGTCCAAACCTGCTGAACTAGAAAAGGTTTTCAGCTTAGTTTCAGCTTCAGTTGTGCAATTTGCAGTTCAGAATTATTGCAGCTCTTGTCTTTTTTGTGTGGGTTTACAGCAGCAGAAATCCCCTTGAGCTAGAAAGGATTTCTAAAGCCAAGTATCATTTATTTCAATATGAAGTGAAATATACCCATGATACCTAATACAAACATAGTACATTCGCTTAGTGTAGACTGATTTCAGCACATCTTCAAATAGTTTATAACTATCATGAAAGATATTGACCTAAAAGTGCATTCAGTTGTAAGTTCAGGGCAATAGATTTGCACATTATTTAGCTATCCATTTTGAAAAAAAAAAATACTTTTAGGAAAGGCCACATTCGTGTGCCGTAGTTGTGAATGATATTGGAAGAAGAAACTGGAGTCAAGGATTCAGAACCAGCTGTGATAATGCAACTCCTGCCCAACTAGAACCGGTTTGGATACATTCCACCTGGCTGACCACCTACATCATGAACCCATTTACCCTCGGTTTCCTCTGTAATCAGTGGAGTGAGGGAGCCACTCCGTGGGAGTGATTCAGATCTTTGGTGTGGTCCATGAATCACCTGCTCAAGATGCTTGTCTCTTCTCGTTGACTCCAGAGGGAGCCCAGGGCAGCTGGACTCTTGCCTTGGGAGCCGAGGTTGGATGCCTAACCCAGCGTGAGATGAATCTGGATGCTGGGTACGTGTGAGATCAGCACAGCTTGTTTGTAGGAAAAATGGATGTGAGTGCCCATAGGATTAAGCAGGGCTGTTATTGCTGGAGATTTAGCAGCTCACGGTTTGTCTGCTGTGTTAATTTTCACTGGTCTGCAGTTAAATTACTGCATTTGCAAGGCTTGAGCCTCAGAGCTTCAGAGCCATGGCAATATCTCAGGATAGACAATCACAGAAGTATAGAATGGTTGGGGTTGAAAGGGACCTTAAAGATCACTCATTCCATGGGCAGGGACACTTTCCACTTGACTAGGTTGCTCAGAGCCCCATTCCAGCCTGGCCTCAAATGCCTCCAGGGATGGGGGAGTCCACAACCTCTCTGGGCAACCTGTTCCACCCTTAAAGAATTTATTTCTTATGTCTAATCTAAACCCACCTTCCTTCATCTTAAGGCCATTCCCTTTGTCCTATTGTTCCATGCCCTTTTGAAAAGTCCCTCTCCAGCTCTCTTAAAGCCCTTTAGGCACTGGAAGGGGCTCTAAGGTCTCCATGGAGCCTTCTCTTCTCCAGGATGAACACCCCCAACTCTCTCAGCCTGTCTTCATACCAAGAAAAAAGAATGATGTTATATTTTATTCAAAAAAATATATTCTTCCTGTCCTCACACACACTGATCCCAGAATAAGCTCTACAGACATTGAGCCTTTTACCTGTTTACTACACGAGATTCCAAGAGAGAACAGGAATTGGTTTCTAGGCGGATCATTTCAAAATTGAGGCTTCAGCTTTCAGAGTGTTTTGAGACCTGGTAAGAGAAAAATAAAATTGAGAGATTTTATTATTTTAATAATATATGTAATAAACTTTATAAATAGTCTGACCACAGTAAAAAGGATTTGCATGTGAAGTAATACTTCTGTTTCTGTAAATCAGAGTTTGAAGGAAAAAAATAGTTTTTTTTTTTTTACTTTATCTGCTGTGCAAAGGCTCCTACTGTTTCAAGTGGCTTTGGAGTAGGCACTAGGCAAAGTGGACCATGATTTCTAGGTACTCAGGATCCTCTATTATTAGTCCTCCATATTGTAATAAAGTAGATAAGAACATTTAAAAAATAAAGAGATATCAAATAGCACTTAAGCCTATTTTTAATCCTTAACTGACTAGATTTCAAGTGATAACATACCTTTCATTACTTGCACAAAATTGTATGCAGCAATCACTGCCTTCATTATTGAGTTGCATATTGTATTGTGAAGATAATAATGTTGGGAAGGTATTAGTCCCAAATCATATGTGTGCAAACAAGGCAAAAGGATTTTTCTGTGCAACCAGCTTCAGCTTATAGGCAAACGAAAACGTAAATAACACTTTCAATGAATCACCAGTTTATGTATGAGTTAAATGTTTATTTTCACCATTTTAGAACTCCCCACTGTCTTCACAGTATTCACTGAAAATATTAATTTGATGAAATGAATTGGCTGAGACGGTGACTAAAAACCAACATGGCCTCAAAATGAAGTCATAAAGCAAACTGCAGCAGATAAAAATTTTTAAAACTATGTACACTTGCAATGGCAACAATGTGTTTCACAAGAAAAATCTCCAATTTCAAGGTAAACCTAAGGCTCAGGTGAAATTGTCTGC